CCTCAAAAGCAAGGTCCTAAGTTCAATCCCAGTACCAAAAAAAAAAAAAAAAAAGAAGAAGTTAATATATGTCCAGGAGTAGAGGTAAGTAGAAAATAGTTGTGCATTTTCCATGGCCTTATTTATTTTGCCTGTTAGAAAATTTGAAGAAAGCTTCCAAGATCATCCATATTTATGTCAATACCTATAAAGTGCCCAGGTAGTATTAGATAAATGATATACAATCCTCTCCTCAATAGTTCCTTCCGCCCTTCCTTCCTTTCTTTCCTGGGTGCTTTTTAATGTATGTACACATAGGAATGCTTATCTACATAAAGCTGTGAAGAATGACAGCATTAAGAAATCTTATATGGAAAAGATGTGTGAACTAAGAAGAAAGCAATGAGAAGCAAGAAAAATTAAGAAAGTCTTTGAGAAGAATAATTTAAGGCCATAGCTGCAAAAAATATATTGAGGTATAGAAAGTAAAGAAGGAACAATGGTTTAGGGATCTAGAATTCTGCTGAAGTATAAGACAGCTTCTCTAAGCAAGCATCTAATTGTTTCAGGGATAGAAATAAAATGAAGAAATAGCTTTTCAGACTGGTTAACAGGTTAGATTAAAAAGAAGACACAGCTTTGTAGAAAGTCATGATGAAATAAGTCATAAACTACAAAGTCCCGCATTGAGGAAACTCAGAAAGATTGCAAAATGAGAAAATTTATTTAGCAAGATGTCTTCCAAACTATGAACAAAGTTGAGCTCTACGACTTTTCTATTATTTCATTCAATAAGTATTTATCATGTACTACTTAGGTACTGAGCTAACTTCAGAATGGCTGCCAAACTTAAAGAGCTAGAGGAAGCAAGACAAGCATTAAATAATCAAATATAAAGCAAATATAGAATCATACAACTTCCTATAAAGGGGAAAAGAGCCCAGAGTTCAGGAGCAATGCAAGAGGGCCTAATGATGCTGTTAAACTCCTTGACTATCACAGACTCCCTTATGCAGTGTCCACACTTGAAGACTTCCAAATGTAGTAAAAAGGAGTTGTTGCAAATGATCCAAGACACAGGATTAATGGTGGAGAGAAATAACCTTACAAGGAAACAAAGGAAGTCCCAGTGAACTTGGACTTTGCATCCATTGGCTGCCTTCTGCTCCTGAAGTTTCCCGGGATGCCTTGACGTTCTGAGAGATTTTTCCTCTTTGAATCCCACCCAAGTTGCATACAAATGTCTCAAGGAAGTTCTGGTTTCCGAGTTTGTATGAATTGTGGACAAACAAGTGAATTCATAATTCATCTGTTTATTCATCTGTGACTATTAGGGAGTTGCACTGCTCTTTAATTTCATTAGAATGGATTCAACTAGAATGATAAGGTGGAAATCTGTCTGGATTATTCAACACACATAATAAATATTCCTGTTTTTAGTTAATTAGTACATTTTTCCTTTCAAAAGAATTATACTATATGCAAATCCTTTAATAGTTTAATACAATGATTAAAGTGTTTTTACCTTTTGTTAAATTAGCTATGCATGTAAAAGTAGGTGTGGGCATCACAAGGCTGTGTGACTCCCAAGACCACAACCTCCAAATAAAGTAGTAAACAGTGATCTACCCTTAGGTAGGATTATATCATTGCAGGTATTTTATTTAAACAGTTCTAAAATACAGTGTTCATCAAAAGTGGTTAGCAGAAGCGTACACCCGTTTGTTTAAACGGTTCTTCACTAAAGACCAGAAACTAAGACCCAAAAGACAAAAGACATCCAGGTCTCTTGATGTTCACCTCACACTGGAAGTACAATTAGAAAAGTGAATTGAACCAACCCTGCATTTTCTAAAGAAAACAGCTGCAGCACACAGTTACTTTTCAGGACCATTGGCAATGCTATTCTAGCTCACCAAGCCACACTAGTGTCACATTGTGATGGATCTCTGCTAATGAGATCACAAGGTATGATCACTTTAGGATATTGTTATTCTTTTTATCTGCTCATCAGTTGAGCCCTCTTCTTTAGTCTGGTGCAAGACAGAACTCTCCCTCATATGGAAGCTGAAAAATACTGGACTCTCTTGCTGTATGACACAAGCACCTGAATTCTGCTTCCCCAACATAAAGATGGAAGTCTGATTCTGAACACGCCCTTGTGATGCAGATGTGATGGGTTAATCATGAAGTGTTCATTAATGGTTTTCTCTGTGTTTTCCTCCTCGTTTTTCTCATTGGTCCCCTAAAGACTGCCCCTAAGAGAGGGGAAAAGTTTGCAGAAGCATGAGTGCAGGTCACTTCTTCCGTTCCCAGAGACAAAATAAGACTGGGCCAGAGATGGAAAGAGAGAAAGAACGCCACTCAGCCTGGAGGGGAAGGGTAGTGAAGAGACACAGACTTCCTAGCATCTTCCAGGGCACTAGCAGAACCTCCAGTCTCAAGGACCAGAGGGCGAAGAGGAAAGGATTAGATGCAGAGCTCTCCTCTAGTGTAGGTACTAGAGCTGTGGCTCTTCCTTAGTGCCTTGAACATATAGTAAAGGACTTGAACACCTTCACAGGATTGAAACGTGGAAAGAGCTGAAGAGCACCAGATGGCAGTGTCCGTAGCGGAAAAGGTTATCCAGAAGCAGGGGACACTCCACTGGTGTTATGTGTGTAAGCAGGGACCACAAAGGCATCCCTCCCGGGGTTGGCAGTAGCAATGGTACGAATCTATTCCATCTCAGCAGCATCCTGCAATAGCTGCACGATTTGCGCCAGGCAGACACAGCAGTGGCCTTTTCCAAGACCAATCCTGTGTCCTCATTTGGGTCATTGTGCTTGGATGAGTGCTGTCCTCCGGCCATCTCAGGGACTCAGTAGCTATCCGATATCCTTTCTTAAACATTTCCTTTCTTCTTAAATTAGTCTGCTTAAAGCTGCCTGTTTTCATTGTAAGCTAAACTGCCTCTCTGTAATAGCCACTCCTGGAGGTCAGGGTAAACTGGTTTCAGCCACTTGCAGGAAGGTCAGGGAGGGACAGAGCCCAAGTGGACCCCTTGGTGATAGGCCTGGAATCCTGGAATCTGGGTGCATCCAGAACTGTAACCAGATACAAGAGAATTACCGTGTGCACTGTCTCTCCAGCATTCGTAAATCTCAAGTATTGTGAAGAAGTGCCGGCAGTCTCAGCTTCCGTGTAATAGGGGTTGCGTCTACTCTTGGGAACTAGTGTTGGGTGGAGGGCAGTGTTAATCTCCTGCCCAAGGCCAGCAGGGCAACAGTGCCATCCATTGAGGCAAAAGTGTCTGTCACTTGAGGAAAAGACCAGCAAAACTGCCACGAGGTCAGTGGTTAGAGGAAGATCAGCAATATAGAGAGAAATGGTTGAGGAACACAGGGGAAAGCACAGGCTGCGGCCAAGACAGACATGGATGCACACAGTGACAAGTCCTGTGATGTGAGTGCCAGAAGGCGGGGCAACATGGAAAGGGAGTGGAAGGGGGCTGCTTGGAGCCAATGAAGCAGCAGGTATTGGGCCAGACGTAGACACAGAGGAAAGATTCAAAAGCACAGTTCCCAACACATTAACATTGGATCTCTTTCGATACGCACATGATTCTATTTTCTTCTTTGCACTCTTCTAGAAGAAAGGGGAAAGAGAGAAAACAACCAACATTCTTGTAAACTCACGGTTCCCCAGAGAATCAACAGCACAATGTCCTTGAAAATCACACCCCTCATCTTTGTTTTGAGAGAGGGGTAACAGCCACGCCCTTGAGCAAAGCCTAAGAGAGAGGAGTAGGAAGTACTCCCTGGTACAGTAAGAGAAATGGGCCATGCCCGAGCTGTCAGACTCCCAGGAACATTTGCCAAACGTGACAGTAGAAGCCATGAGGGCCTGGTCTTGTTCCAACTCGGTAATTGCATCCTGCCCGCCACCCTGTGCCATCTCCTCTTCTTACAGAATGCGACAACCCGCATCCTGAGCAAAGCTGTAGGGAGCTCCGCTACTGGCAAGTTCTTATCCCTTTCTCTTGTCTGTAACAGCAGTTATTTTGCAGTTTGCACTCTGGAGGAACTAGATTGTTCACTGGTGCCCAAACAGAGTCATGCTTCCATGCCCTTTGTTTTTTAACTTTTTTTTTTTTTGTGGGGCGGGGGGGAATTTTAGGTATACAGAGAAATAGAGAAATGTCCCAGGCATGTAGAGGGTGGGTTAAGAATACTCAGACCTCCTGCAATATAAGAGTTAGTGACACAAATCAGAAGAACTTCACATTCAGTATGAGTTTTAAACATCCCACTGAGATTTTAAAAAAAAAATCATGTTTATAATATTCTGAACCAAAAATCTCACACTCTTGTACATATTATCATATATAAAATTTTTTTTGCACATTTTCGATACAGGCTGAATTTTACAAGAACATGACCAACGTAAATGGTAAGGAGGCTGAATGTTGATTAGCTGGACCTTGCTGAGAATTGTTCTCTATTTTGGAAAACCACACTGCTGCAGGAAGAGTCCCTGGTGGCGTGTTAGTCACCAATACAACACTCCGGAGACAATGTTAACGTTTAGACTGGTTTGGAGTCAAAGGCTCACCCATTCCAGCAGGTCTCCTTGGGTTTCATGATCAAGCTCTTATTACTGATACATAATATTTTTATTACAAATTACTCTTTTCAATGTTATATTGCAGCTAGAAAAACAGTATTGACTACTGCAAAATTCTTTATCTGGACAAGAAGCATTATCTATAGGATTTATTTGAATGTAGTAAACACACACACACCAGTAAATATTTTCTATAAAAGGAGATATTAAATATTAGGTGAAATATTTAAATATTTAAATATTGGGTGAAATCAAATTGTATATTGTACTTAGGAAATGTGACTTGACAAATCCAAAGAATTATACTTCTTAGTGTTACCTGATGAAGTGGAAGTCCCTGTGTACATAAATGCCATTGTTCTAGGCATTATTTGGGGGCAGCTCCTTGACAGGGCCATCCTTTCATCAAAATAATTGCACTTTAAAAGTTAAGATGTTAGGGCTGGGGATATAGCTCAGTGGTTCTGCTCCTGCCTTGCAAGCACAGGGACCCAAGTTCAATCCCCTGTACCAAAAAAAAAAAAAAAAAA